GCGGCGAGAGCAGGGCCGTGTTCAGGTACGCTACGACGCGCCGCGTGATGCGCGCCCGCGAGGAGGCGTCGCCGCAGAAGTCCAGCGCCTGCAGGTACGTCACGGCCAGCCCGTGCGGTAGCGCCACGTGCGTGTCGAAGCCCAGCTTGTACAGGATGCGCGCTTCGAGCGAGAGCATGCGCCGCCGCGCGGCGTCGTAGCTGCTCTCTGAGAGGTAGTAGGTTGATGGATCTGGAGACTCTGGTGAGGAGGAGGAAGAGCGGAAGAGTGCTGAGGCTGGGGAGAGTAGGTATGCGTAGACGTTCATGACGTCGCGCGGACGGCTTGGATGGCCGCTGAGTTTGGATACCAGGAAAAGAGAAGCTGCTGAGACGTCCTGGTTGTCATGTTAGCTCACCTTTACTTTTTTCTTTCTTTTTTTCTTGCCGTTTCTCTTCTGCCGTGAATGAATAACATGATGGCATGTAGAAATAAGGATTAACACAACCTACGCTGAACTCATTGGCGAGAAGTGGCTCCTCGAGCCAGTACCGGGCGAGAACGACATTTGCCTGTGCCGTCACGGATTGCGGCAGTCGGAGGAGGAGGCCCGCGGCCTGCGTCAGGGTCTGCGTCGCGAAGAATATCGCGTCTTGTAGGTCCGACGGCAGCGCGCCGAATGAAGCCGTGCGCTTGTATAACTGGTCCACTGTTGCCAGTGGGTTCGTCATGTGTGCCATTGCGGAAATCGGTGTTTGGTGTCCAGACGAAGTGATTGAAGCTTGTGGCTTATGCTGTCTTTTTTGTCCTGGACATTGCGCTTTATTAGATAGATCCTACTATAAGCTTATTCCAGTTGCGAGCTTCATGTTTCCATTCAGTGAACCTGGGCTGGCTGACGATAAACCGCGCTTGGGCTAATGCAAGCTCCTGCAGCCAGGGTTGCAAGGTGGGGTGAAATCCCTCTGGGAAATGACGTCGTTTGCGACCCCTATTGCTCGTTCTCATACCGAGTTTTGCTCTTACTGGTAAATGAAATGTTCATGTGAGGAATGGTGTGTTTTGAATTTTCCTGGTTATCAAAATCGTAGACTACCTACCCAGAAGTGAAATACATGCTGAATACAGTGGCGCCAGCTCTTGAAATGCCAATCTCGAGGGTTCCGTCGGCGCTCCGTATGCTTGGCGGTATCATTTCACCTGTCTTCTTCATTATGACCCGTGGCCCTGTGGGTGAAGGCTCTTGTAGCTTGTAGAACCGTCTCCCATTGAGGCTCAAGAATCCCGCGATATGCTCTTGTGTGACATCCTTCTCGTCAATTATCCCTTTCTCAGTTGCTTCCTCCAGGGCGAGTAGGACAAGCTGTGTCGCGTAGGGTTGCGTGAACACGCCCGCTGGGACAGGTTTACCTTGCTTGTTTACTAATGGATGGGGCGCACTGTCGCTTCCACTGGAGGATATATCATGTTAGACGAATGGGCAATGTGGCTACACAATACCAATATTACTAACAAGAAGAATTTAGGGTCACCGCTGCAAACAGCTTTCAGTAGAGCATCTCGATCCGAAGGTGTCTTCGGGATCGGCTTGCAAAAGGCATGAGGGTCTATCTCGCTTATGTCGCCTGTTAAGTACAAGTGGTGCGCCGTTATAGTGCCTAGAGAGCCATATATGTTAGACTTTGTCAAAAACAGTACAGAGGCGTTTCTAAGATCGGGAATCGGGTGCTGGCTTACCAGCGACTGTTGGGCTACATGCCCGTACTGCATCGACGGCTGCTGCAGTTGAGCAGTGCTAGAGACATCAATGTTAGAATAGTCAGAAACCCTATCTAGAATTGATCCGCACCTCGAGAACGATACGAAGTTTCGGAAATTTTTCGTTGAGTCTCTTTAAAGTAGGCAGAAACATTTCTTCCAATGATACATCTTTTGGTACAGTTCCAGGTACTTCGCCATGTAAGTTCAGCACGATATCGTGCTCCTCCATAGCTGCGAAAGTTGGCGCGTAGACTTCAACGAAGTCGCCAGCGACTCCCAATTCAGAATTCGTAGTGACGCCTGTCTCGATATTAACCATCATGGAACTTAAGGTGATGACAAAGGATATGATTAGTACGTACCTTGTGGGTACAGCTTGACTCCTGCAATACCAGCTTTAGCAGCCTCAGCAATCACATCGGGGGTAACGGAAGGGTGAAGCTGGCGACCATTAGTCCGCGGCGACATTCAAATCATCTTATAAGAAACACACGTAGAGAGACATCAAATAGTTAACTTGAGGCTCAATTGCTTGTAGTTGGGACTTGTATTCCAAAGCAGCAGCCACAGTGGTGACGGGTGGTTGCAGGTTTGGCTATTAGCTAGAGTTAGTTTAAGTGTTAGAGAGGTCAGATGTCTTTTTGGTTTTACATGCCATGACAAACACAGTATCTACTCCTCCCCTTCGGATGTAGGGAACCACCAGATTCATGACCTGCAAGGAGTTAGTTTAAATGATTTAGAGTGAACCCGAGAACATGATAATACAGACCTGACCCTGTCGCAGGTGGACATGCATATCTGCCGTTGGCGGCAATTCTATCCGATATTCATCCTTGAGTCTCATCTTGACTACGGGAATCAAATTGAAGCTCTAGAGAGACTCAGGATTTCCTTTCGTGGCTTATAAAAAGCCGATTGTGTTCCCTTCTTTTTGAGTTGGTGATTTAGAGGTCTCAGGCTCCCAGTACCCCACCATCTTATATACACACTGATAGCTGATAAGAAAAGCTACCTAAGGAGGGGCAACGCAGTCCAGCACGTGATGATTAATGGCGGTTGGTGCCCCTTAGCGCACCCAACCTACTGGTAAGAAAACCTACATGAGATACCTGAAGAACCTAAATAGGTCAAATAAATACCACGCGCATGGTAATATCTCTACTCTTCAAACTCCGATCTTTATGTTCGACACTAGCCCCTCTGGTAGTTCATGATATTTACGGTGTTTCCGCTTCTATTTTCGCATCACATTCGAAGAGATCTCTCCTGTGAAATTGCCGAGATTGGTCAACCAGGGGGTGCAAAGTGTATCGCACTGTTGAGCTGCCTTTATTTGTCTGAGATACAACTGCACAACTAGATTTTGGGTTCAAACTACCTAAACAAGAGCGCAGTTGGCTAGGGTAAACATGTAACTAACACTTGTGGGAGCAGCACAGTTGCTGATTACTGTGCCGGCGCTGTGGTCTGTACCGGTACTGAGACCTTAATTTGATTGCATGACATGCCACCCATGATACGGAATTGGCGGGAATAACTGTTACATCTACTTGGCCGGCGACTTTTCCGCTATTCAAACGAGAGACGGGCGAATCACTACCCGGGCTGTAACGAAAGTGTCCGAAAGATGTGTGTACTCATAAATATTGGCCATGGACGCGAAGTATTGATGGTCCATCATGCCACTCTACTCTAAATCGTAGCTCACCCACAATGGCTTCATTTATAAAGGGACTCTTCACTGAGAAGCCCATATTCTTCGAAAAGGATATTCCGGATCTATATGGCAAGGTATGTTTGTCTCCTAAAATCGGCTTGCACTCACTTTAATGCCAGTGCCTTAGGTCTTCATAATCACAGGTGGCACTGGAGGCATTGGCTTAGAGCTCGCAACAATGCTCTTTCATGCTAATGCGTCGAGAATCTACCTCCTGGGTCGATCCGATGAGGCAGGAGAAACGGCGAAACTCAGTATCGCCTCCTCAGCGCCACCTCCCGAAGTAAACACCCGTTCAACTCCCGGTAACGACGTCGTTCAGTTCATACACCTCGATTTATCAGACCTTTCAAGCGTAAAAGAAGCATCCAAGACGTTTTTGGAGAGGGAGACACGACTAGACATTATATGGCACAACGCAGCTATCATGCTTGCGCCGGAGGGGAGTAAGAGCAAGCAGGGCCATGAACTTACATTCTCCACGAACGTTCTAGGGCCTTTCCTCTTGGAGCATTTTCTGACGCCGGTCCTCATCCATACGGCAAAGCGGTCTGACGCATCAAAAGAGTCGGTGCGGTCCTGTTGGGCCGGCAGCGGTGATTCTGTAGCGCCCCCAGGTGAGGACGGTATAGTCTGGGATGACTGGGGTTTGGACGGTCCTAGCTACTCGGGGTTCGATGGGAGAACACGACGGTACATGCAAAGCAAGGCTGCCAATGCAATCCTCGCCACCCAGATGGCGCTTCGATATCCCGAGCTCACAACTTGCGGGTTTAACCCCGGTGCAATCAGGACAAATATCGCTCGGCACGCTCCAGGGATTTTGGCGGCTTTTCATAACTTAACAGCCGCCTCTCCCCGCTATGGCGAGCTCACCGAAGTGTATGCTGGTTTTGCAAAAGAAGTCGCCGAAGCTAATGGATGCTTCGTTGTGCCGTATGGGCGCATTGGAAAGCCTCATCCAATCGTTCAAGACGGTGTCGAAAAGAGGGACGGCGGCGAAAGGCTCTGGAAGTTATGTGATTCTTTGGTCTCGTCATTCTATTAGTGTGCCTAGCTCATAGTCCACCGAACCTTTGGTCAGAATCTTGACTTTGGACTAATACTATGAGATTTGTCGAAGAGAAGTGGGTGTTACTCCGTGGATACGAGCTTTGACTTGATTATCAAATGGACAACACTTGAGTCATTAACCCAGCGATGAGTTAATTAATTATACGCCAATCACCATGAGTTGGTAGCACAAATGCCGACATACATCTGATTGGTATTGTCCTACCACGATTAAGACACAGTATATCACTGTTTTCATAAATGTTGTCTAAAAATCAACGAAGGTTGGGAGCCCTCGCTGGCGACGCCTATTGCCTAACTAGGAACGTGGGGTGTCTTTTGTAGGCCATCAGTGGTTTTGCCTTGAAAATTAGGGACTTTCGGGAAGAGACCATACTAGCTCGATGCACTCATTCTTCAATCTGTTAAACAACGCAGGGAAGACGATCATGAATGTATGTAAAAAAGCAAAAAAGTGAAAAAATAACTCTCGATCGGGGAATCGAACCCCGGCCACCTGCGATTTGCTATTCTAAACTCGAAGAGGCTGTCAAATGACAAGCAGGTATCCTTACCACTAGACCAATCGAGACTTTACCTGAGTAGTAGCAGTTGGTTGCAGCCTGCAATTGGAGAGAAAGTCTATACGGCCAATGTACAGCCTGAAATCTCTCGCACGAGTCAGAATCTGGCCTCTGTATAATACCATATATAGATTTTGAACTATGTGGCCCTGTGATCATTTGATGCATAAAACCACTAAAACTGTCAAGCATAACTGAATCTGTAGTCGTGTGGTGTGTTGAGAGCTGAGCATATGGACGGAAGGCTAGATCTGCAGACGCATCGAGAATAGGCTTGTTACTTTTCGCACAAAGAGAACCAAACTTATTAGTTGCACATCAAAAGATTACGTAGAGGAAAGTAAGAAGAAAAAGCTTGTTCGATTACCAAAAACAAAAGTATAATTTCACAATCAGGTCTAGTGGTCACCCAACAGGACTGCTCAGGTTCAGATCAATATGAGATACCCCTGTCTTCGACACTTTAACGACAAAGAGATCTCTTGAGAGATCAAACATGAAACAAACTCTGGAAGAGTAAATACAATAGCCATAATAAATAATTCTTTGTTATTATATGTTCTTAATGGCGCACATTCCACATCGACGCGGCAGATTTGGGAACACTGGCAGCATAGTTCCTCCATCAAGCACAATCACCCCAACTACCTTTATTGGTTCTGCAAGTACACCCCAAGAAAACAGAAACGAACATACATAAATAACCAACCATCTAACAAACAGAATAATTTCAATGAGTGATTCTAAGCAAAAGGTCCGGGCTGCCGAACTAATGGCACAGCTGAAGGGCGACAGGTACGAAGAACGCTCAGCCGAGGTCCGTCACCTCGCCGAGCGTGGAAACGAGTTAAACATGAACCTATACAAGACTCTAAGCCCAACCAGGCGCCATAAAACCCGAAAGGCATCCTGGGTACCCAACTCCGACTCTGAATCCGAGGATAGCAGACTCGACAACGCCTATCTGACCCCCGACGGGAAAGAAGTCGTAGAGCAGCAGTATAAGCTCATGAACGGACACTGGGCTTCGCTCACGTATCGCAAACAGTTACACGAGGTCGACCCGGGCTTGTTAGCCGCACTACGACAGAAGCGCGAAAAGGAGCAGGCGAAGTGGAAGGCGAAGCAAGAGAAGAAGAAGGCAAAGGGGAGTAAAGGAGAGCAGCAAGATGGTATGCCTCGGATTTCAACGCCCCTGGCCCAGCTAACGGATATGGGAGCTCCTCGGTCGACACATAGAACTCACAGGGAGAAAGGAGTAGGTAAAAGCACATACTCTGGAAATTCCAGAGAAAGGTCCCGTGGAGAGCAGCAAGACCGTGTGCCACTGCCATCTAATCATGCAGTATATGATGCAGAATGCCAACGAGAGGTAAATCGATGGCGACAGGTTTCGAGTACCGAGACCAAGAAGGCACTTCCCTGGGAGGAAAAGACCCCATCATCACCTCCTTCCACGCCGCCTGAAATTCTGTCTTCTTCCCCTACTTCCTTTTTATCGCCCGATTCATTCAGAATGAGAGCAGAACGAAGTGGTTTCCATCCAAGCGGGGAATATGACACCCGCCATACGGTTGATAATGAAGACCATCTTGACATTTGGGAACAAATTGCGGACGAAGAATGTAGCAATACTAAGTGGCGGAAAGCTAAGTAGGGGTAACTTACTCACAATCGTACCCCCAACAAGCGGCAAATTAGAATACAGACATAGTAACGTAGACACCGGGGCTACCTCTCCGTCTCATTGGATCCATTCAATTCTTGCAACCAATCTTAGTATGTGTACCTTCACGGTGCTTCTTCATGCGTGTCCTGAACTCCCGGCCGTTGAACCCATCAGGAACCCTTCGGGAGGCTCAACAGGTCCTAGCCTCTGAGCGATGTTCGTGGGATTCACCATAGCTACCGGTGTTTGACCTTCAGCCCTCCCAGCTCCGGAATTTTCAATGTCTTTTTTCGCTTTGTTGTATTCCTTGATTCGCGCTGTGGCTAATCTCCCAGCTCTTCGGCGGTCTGTCGGACACCGCAGGAGAGGCACCTATTTGAGAGTCTCGAGTCAGTTATATCTATGGGTAGCAACAGCTGAAAAGCGTGTTGATAGTACTTAGCGGTAATGAAAGTAAAATATCTCATTTAAATATATTGTGCTTGCGATACGTGTCAAAAAGGGGGTGAAAGACTCCAACGGACTTACCTGGATAATAGCGGCAAAGACATCGAAGACCTTATCTACAGGTACATTATGTCTCTTCGCAACTTCTTCGAATGGAAATTTCTCTTGACAGGTCTCAGCCACCTCCACTATTAAGTTGGGCGAAGGTTTGCGATATGTGGGTTGGATGAGAGAGGGAGGTGGTTTCAAGGGGCTAGAGGCGGTACTGGGACCGGGCACGATATTCTTTAGTTGGCTTGCCTGAGGTGGGTTCGTTTTACTAGAGCTTTTAGAAGCAGACTGTTTGCATTTCTCGGCTTCCATTTGTTGTTGGGGGGTCGCTTGTCGTGGCGGTATCTGAGGTTGCGGATGAGAAGATAGAGGAACAAAGGTGTTGTTGCTGGCTGGTACCATTACTGGAGCAAAGTTCGCACCGTATTGGTGCATATTGCCACTCATGGGAATTGGTATCATTTGCGGATGTAGTTGTTGACCGTAAGGCATCTGGTAATGTAACTGCGGCATGAGGTGAGGCCGGAGATTCGTATTGACTGTCGGCACGCCCTGTCGTGAAAGTCGAGCCTGGTGTCTCAACTGGGAACAAATTTGACACGACTGTTTCTGTGAGTGAGCCGAATTGATGAGATGGCTATGGCCTCCCAACGATTTCGGGTTACTCCCTGAACAACCTGCGTGATGAGCAGCTTGCGAATGGGTTAAATGACCGGGAGTAGGATTTGGTATACTGTTTGGACCAGTCTTCATGTCATGGTTTGGAGAGGTTGAGTTGGCACCGTTCCCCGGGTGTGTAGCCGCTTTCAAAGCATGAGATTGCTGAGTGCCACCTGAATTCTCCGTCAAATCTGATGTCGTGATTGGTGTTCCACCGTCCCGAGGGATATGGCTTGAGCTTGCACAGGGTATACGAGAGTCCGACAGTATTCCAATGCCGAATGCTTTAGGAGCACTGTGGTTACTTGAGACATTAGGAATTGCCGGAGGCGCTGAGGATGGAAGCTGTTTTGGTGAGAGTTCGGGAGGGCTCGGCAAGCGAGACTTGCGGAAAGGCTGGTCAAGTACAAAGTTCTCTAGTACTGGCATGGACACTCCCCTCAGGGCGTAAGTGAGCTCCACTGCTTGCCGGTCGTGTGGTAGACCAACCATTCCAGTGCTCAATCGTCTTTCCGTATCCCTCGAGTTAACGTCAGGCATTTGACTAGCCATTGCAGGAGCGCTTGGAGCAATGGTAGGATCAGTAGCAGCGGTGCTTAGAGCAGCAACACATGGGATCTGTGATCGTTCAGTCACAGGTACCGCAGGCCGCTTCTCACTAGTTCGACGTTTCCTGACAGGCTTCTCGGAAATGAACTGTATGTCATCGTCATCTTCGTCGATTGGTCTTTTGGATGGTGTCACGGTGTTAGAAGGTAGGTGCTGACAATAATGATTCTGACCTAATCCATGTAATGGACCTAGTAGAATCTGGCTTGGGTACTGATGTGGGAAGTGATTTGGCATCATACTTGCTTCCTACATCAGTAGACACATGGGAGTTGATCTGTTGGGTTGAATGTTTTCTAGCTCTGGGAAGTTGGAATAAGCCCCTGGGCTATTTGTATTAGCAGATGAGCCTCTTTAGCTGATGAACTGGAGCTGCCAGTGAGCTAAGACATGAGAAGCCCAGGAACCAAAAAGACATTCTGTATCTCGTCTCTACGTAGCACTGGTGCAGCTCTTTCATATATATGCAGGCCGTTTGACTGCATGAAAGCTGAAGAAAAGGCAAATTCTTCCATCGTGTTGACAAGGCTTTGCTAATTCAGTCATGTGCTTTCAGCAAGGCCAGCCTAGCACTGGTGCAGATGGTACCATCACCATTTTTAACGTAGCTGTGTAGTTAATACAATTGAAGGGTGTGATAGTGAAAGTACATCATGGGACTTTCCAAAGAAAGGAAGTGGTTGAGACAAGTGAAAGCCCAAGGCGTTGTTGGCCAAAGAGAGGTTGCCGGTAAGGCCAGTGTTTGGATATTAATACATTTAACAAATCATTGCGATCATGGGCAGAGTGAAAATAGGCGAACAAATATTAAAGGATGATGAAATGAAGGCTGAATGTGAATTTTGGCAGATAGTATTTCGGTCGGGAGTGGCGATACTCTTTTCGACAACGTGTATAGTAAGTGCCATTCATCATTCAGGTCAGTGAAAAGTCAATAGTTGACTTGATATTCACCTTTGAGAAGAGATAATCTTTAGCAAATAGACATATTAGCTGTTATTACAAGTGTTGGTTCTCCGCAGGTGCGTTGGTAATATTGAATACTCCCTCAACAACCTACATACTCAGACTATCCAAAGCAGGAACATAGCCTTCATTGTACACATTAGGTGAATATATCTTGCATCTGCTATTAGCTTGATTCACTGCCGGTTTTTGAACAGAGACACCATACCAGACACGGGCCGACTCTGACAATAGCTAGAGAGGTAGAGCGAGAAGCGACGGAATACTCTTATCCATACGTTGGCGTAGCTTTCTCCGTCCCTCCTTGCTGACAATAGTCACTTCACTCTCTCCATAGGCAACTCCGGAATCACAATTCGATACCTGAACTTGCACAAAGAGCATATTTGGCGTTGCAACAGCTACATGTTAGCCTGCTCGCGACGAGGGCGTTATCTACCTCCGAATCCTCAGGGACCAGTTGGCGCCGCTGAAGCCGATCTGCTACAACACCACGCCGCCGGAGCGCCGCGTTCTTGTGCATCTGTGAGGAATCGAATTACTGTGAAGAGGGTGTACTATGCTTAATGTGGTATCTGGAGAAGGATACCTATAGGCTATGGCTAC